GAAAAGATGGATATATTTGATTATATATAAATATAAAACTTCGGTGTTAAGTTATAACAAACAGAACTCAGGGACAAATAATAGACTAGGAAAAAACATTTGCAACACATATACAGGCAAAAGATTAGCATTCATTCTATTTTATAAAGACTTACAAATCAGGCATCAAAATGGACGTGAAGTGTGAACACACCATTCTAAAAAAAAATGGCTAAAATACTTTAGCTATCTCCTGGCATTTTTTTCAAAAATCATCTTTGACTCAACCGACGAGGAAAATACACTTTAAAGACTTAGACAATCCAGTGCTGCCAGAAGGTAGAGAAATGGGTACTTTCTTACTCTATTAGAATATAAGTCAACTAGGCATTTCACAGGGTAATTGGGCAATACCAGCCAACTTTTGATCCAGAAATGACACTTCTAGTAATTCCACAGGAATACCTGCACAAAAATTACACAAAAAAGTTTGTTCACCACAATACTGTTTGTAATAGGCCCAGACTGGGAACAACTAGATTTTCATCATAGAGACACAGTTACATACGTTACGGCATATGCCCACAGTGTGGAGTGTGCGAGAAGACTGAAATTCACAAGCACACATATCTGTATATGTATACAAGGTGAATATACTGTAAAATGTCTAATACCTAGCAATCTCTTTATATAGAAGTTCAATGTAGGCCAGGGAATGGGATGGGAGAGAAGGAAACTTTGGCATTTTGGTGTACATACTTTCATATTATTTGTTGGTTACAATCATATTTATCAAGTAATTAAAAAAAGACGAAGAGACAGAATCTTGGGAAGCTGAAGCAGAGTGAACTGGGACCTGGGTATGAGACGGAAGAGACGAGGTCAGACTTATGGGCTCCTGCAGGGTTATTAAGAACCCAGAACAGACTGGACCAAGATGGCTGCTTGACAATGAGGAAGTCTGGATTCCTGAACACAAACACTTTTCAATGCATGCCTCGAGCTGATGGTGGGTTAGGAGGTATCTTCCTAAAAGTCATCACCACGCTTGCTGCGGAGGCACATATTAGGAAAGAATAATATGAAAGACGAGGCATCTATTTCTCTAAGATGAGAATAGAAGACGTCTTTGAGTTTCATTTAAAATAAAATGAAAGAACAGCGCTTGGGTTAAATTATCAGCACACGATCATCTGCAGTACCCAGGAATGAAGGAAATTGCTGTTTTCCATCCAGAAAGAGAAAAAAAATCTCAGGCAGGGGAGCACGACACCGGACAATGCCCGCAAGCACGCACATACTGCGGCTCACACAAGTGCATGTGAACATACGTGCAGCAGCTGTGCATCCCTGTAGAACAACTCTCCTGAGCTCTCAAGTGTGGGCACAGCCCCTCCCACGGCCTCTCCCGCGCCTCCACCCGCAGGATGTCATCCTCCAGTGACTCGTCCAGCCAGCCACCTTCTACAGCTTCTCTTTCCACAGGCGACAGGTGCAAAAAACCACCACTTTTCTCTCCAAAGCATTTCCACTTTCAATCACAGAAAAAAAAAAAAAAAAGCTTTCCAAACTCCTTAACTTGCTCAAGACAACCTTATATTTTCCTATCTTCAGTTTCTAGCCCGGTGACTGCACATACTAGATGCTCAATCAATCACACTTTACTGAGTTATCATCCTCCAGAAAAAGTCGTCACCTCCCCAACTGGTATCCCCCTGAATGATTCTTTCATAGTTTTTCAGGCGGTTATCTCCCTCATCTTAAAAATACTGTGGATTAGTCAACAGTACTGTACCAATTTACCTGTACTGCTGACTTCCTAGTTTGGGCTAAAGGCACCAGGGTTATGTAAGATGTTGATATTCAGAGAAGCCGGGTAAAAGGTAAATGGGAACCCTTTGCAACTCTTCTATAAACCTACAATTATTTCAAAATAAAAAGTTTTAAAACAAAACAAATTTTAAAAAAAAGGGGGGAGTTCTCTTGACTCTACTTGCCTTTCCTATCTTTTTCCTTCCTTTTATAGTAAAATTCTTTGAAACTATTATCTATACCCACTCGTTACAATTTCTTTTCTCCCAGTTGTTCCTAAACCCACTCCAATAGGTTTTCCTTCTTCATATGCTTTCCTTGATAACACCCATCTTATGGAGATCGCCAGTGATCTTCCAGTCGCTAAATCAGTGGCCGCTCATGGGAACTCATCTTTCCTGTCCTACCAGCAACATGACACAGCTGGCCAGTCTGTCCTCCTTGAGACAGCTTCTTGACACCACACTCACCTCCTTTTCCTCCTTCCTGCTTGTTAGAGCACTGTTGGCACCTCTGAGAGCCCCAACCCTCATCAACCCACACAACCAACACAGCAGGGGTCGCCCCCCAAACAAGCTGAGTGTTGGAAAATTGGCCACAATGGGTACAGTCAAATGTACAGAAAGTCATGAGTCCATAATGATACTTAAAAAAAAATCTCACTGGTGACCATCTTTGGAGGTTGCTAGGGCAGCAACTCTTACTAGGCCAATTGATAAAGGGCAAGAATCAAGCACTGATTCTGTCTTTCATCATTTTTATAACAAGATCTTTTTAAGTAGAGGCTACTGACCACAACCAGGGTTCCAGAGAACATCTTCATCTCAGAGCTCCACATCCACCTGCAGACACCCTGTTGGTGAGGAATGGTAGACGATTTGGGAAAGACCAAGTATTTGATCCATATTCTGGAGAGCGCTGATGCTCACAGCAACACTTCAAGTTTGAGGAAGACTCGTACATCAGCTTAACCTATCTCTTGCGTAGACTGTAAAAGGGTCTCCTGTCACAAGAAGAAACAGCTTTCCACAGACTCATTAGGCCAGAAGGATCTTTAAGAATCCCTTTAACACAGCTCATCAGCTCTGGGCAGGTCCTTTCACCCATGTAAGAAATATTCCTTAAAGCACCTGCTGTGTGTCAAGCACGCTGCTGAACAACACAGGGCCTTACCCGCATGGAGGTTAAAGGTCAGTGGACTAAACCTAAGTCATCCAGCCTCTTAAAATCCTTTCTGAAGAGGACAAGGAATAGCAAATTAATAACACACTCAAGCAGTGCTCTACCAGGCACTTTATAGGTTTTATCACATTTAATCCCTGTAACAGCCCTAGGAGGTAGGTAGTATTATCTCTGTTTTATATGCAGTTGCAAGTGTGTGCACACATGTGTGTAATTACAAACTGAGGCATGCCACAGTTGAGTGACTCGCTCAAGGTCATCTATCTAGTGAGCAGTATGAACCCAGCAAGGGCTCTCTCCAGTCTGCGTTCTCAGCCACCACACTATAAATTCAAGCCGCCCTGGCTGGAGATCTGGACTAGCCTGGCAAACAAGGGCAACGGGCCATTCTCGGCCAGCAGACCAGAAATGCTGTCCAGCCCTCGGCCCCCGAAACGACACAGAGCTGGAAGAACGACAGTCCAGGCAAAGGTCATGACCTGGTCTATCTCAGCAGGTTACAGATGGTGACAGGGAGTCACCAGCAGGGGGGGCGGGCAGGACAGGTGGACCTTGCTCGGCAACAACAGCAGACACAGGCAGACGGGCTGTGGCGGTGGGTGGACGGAGGCGGTGCCTGGCACGCCCCTGGGCTCCCATCATCTCATGCTGCGCTCAAGATGCTCGCCCTATACCTCCACTCCCCGCGCAGAAAGGCCTGGGTTGGCCACTTGCTCTGTACCTTGTGTCCCCTTCCCTGCTGGCTGCCTTTGCCAGTCAGCAGAAGGACCCCCCTGCTGCTCCCACACCCCTGAATCTCATGGTGCTAATTCTCCCATGCCTCTTGAGTACTCAGCTCTCAAGCCCAGCCCTTGGGCCCGGGCCCTCTGGGGCCAGTTGCTGAGCCAGGGCTCCTTACAGTAGTCAGAGCTTCGCATATTCCCCTCACCTCTGAAACGCTGATGACCTCTGCCTTGAGTAAACTTTGAAATGCCCATCAGGGCAACAGCCCCCCCGCCCCCCGCCCCTTCCTCCTGCTGAATTCGAATCTGGGATTGAAACGGTTGACAAATGATCTTTGCTTAAAACTTGACAAAATTCAAAATGGGGCAGAGGCTAAAATCCTGGTGCCAGCCATCATCAGTCCCCATAAATCAATGCTGTGTTTAAGCTCCAAAGTCCTCACACCGTGAGGCCTGCAGCCACAGAGATGACAAGGTGCAAGCTGTCTTTTCCCAACAGCTCAGGAACAGAATCCCAACTGGGGCTCCTGTGTCTCCAGAACTGATCTTTCCTTCTTCCCAGACTCCCTTTACCCTCACAGTGTTCTCCAAGCTGGTAGCCTTGGGCCCGACACTGTGTGTCACAGAATGGCCTGGCCTCAACCTATGCACTCCTTTTGGATTTTCTAAAAATCTAAAGGAAGGCAAGAACAGCAGTCTGCTTTCTAGCAGTTTCATTAGAGCAGCCTTGGGATGAGGCTCCACCATTGTCTCTACCCATCCTGGGGACTGCCTCCCAAACCCTGGGCTTAGCAAGGAGTTGCATGTCAGTTGCTTTCTTTCAGTCATTCAACAAGTACGTGTCGAAGACCTGCTGGTGCCAAGAAGAACTCTGGCAAAGAAACGAAATAAAAGACTGAAAGACAGGATTTGGAAGTGGCTCTGTACCCCCTAATCAATCCTCACCACATTTTTAGAGCCAGCCAGCCTAGTCATTGAAGGCAGATCCGACATGCAATGCAGCAGTCACCAGGGCCTTTGTCCCAAACAAGGAGCCGCCGCCTACAGAGAGTGTGAAGGCAGGCGGCCAAGACACAGAGCACAGGAAGGGTTTCGTTTGAGAAGAAACTAACAATTAGTCAGGATAACACACTTAGGACATTCATTAACATTAAGCAAACATGCCAGACACTCAATTCCCTAAAGCAGTTTTCCTCATAATCTTCCATTTCCAAACCCACGTATGATGGTCTGAAGAAGCAAGGCTTCGGGCTACAGGGAGGTGAATGAAGGCATTAAATATAAAGAATTTTCAAAGTAAAATGATTAGGACCATGTTTAAATTATAAGTTTATTGAGCATAAGATATAAAGGTTGCTATCAAATGAAGATAGCTTACATTTTACACACAAAACAGCATTCTTATATGATTAAATTTAAGTCTATGTCTCTTTTTTCCCTAAGAGGAAAGAAAACCTATATTGACCAATTCAAGATATATCATGAGATAATCAGTTATTAATAAAAGAAAATCAATAAAGTAAAAAATAATTGAATCAATGAAGTCTTTGTAAAAAATTTATCATCTAAGTCTGTCAGCTGGTTTTTCTTTTATGCTCCAGCTGGTCACTTAGTTCAGCCTTAAAAAAAAAAAAAAAAAAAAAGCTGAGCAGAGGTAAATTTGTCGTGCCACAAATCATAGCTCTGTTGCTGTCCTGGGTAGATTTCACAGCTTTCTCTTTTCTATCTTTGCCCGCTCCCTACCACCACTTCTCAAAGCAAATGTGTTCTTTGGGAACGTGGCTGTTTTCCAGTTGCTTGGAGAAAAAGTCTGTCATTGGAGGTGGGCCACAAATATAGAACAAAGTCTCTTGTGAAATATGATCTCTTATCTCCTTCTCCGTTATTCTTCCTTCTACCAAAAAACAGAATAAACACCAAATAAGCCAGACACGCCTGTACTGAAATGAGGAAGGACTAACTACAACTCAGCAACGGGGTTTATTTCCAGTAACCCAAGCTCAGGGCATCTAGTGTGGACTCGTTCACACAATGGCTCCTGGTGGCAGCACCAGACGCCAGACCCAGGCAGAGAATGCATCACCAGGTTCCCTAAGCTTACGGTGAGCAAAGTGGGGAGCTAACCATCATGCACTCTTCAGACAGGGCCAGTTAGCTTCCTGATCTCTGGCAGAGATTCAGAACTGGCTTCAGCAAAGTAAATAAACTGGTGAAAAAAATCTTTCCAAGCAGGGGAAACCACGGGTAATTCAAATGACCATTAATGGCAAACGGCATCAATTCAGTCGAGGCTGGAACATAAAATCTTTGGATGTATACTACAGTGATGACACAAAGGTCCCCTTAAAATATGTGGAAAATAAATTTTTAACATGGGCAGTAAGAACCCCGTATATAATAAGGAAATCCAACCAAATCTCTCATTTTTCCATGGTGAATCACCTCCCAGTTCCCCAGGTAGTGACATCCCAGGAAAGCAACTACCATCCACCAGCGGTCTGTGCCACCAAACAGCTGCGTGAACATAGTCAAAATATCCCCGGGGGACTCACCCGTGACGTATGGCTTGAGTTCTGCACTGATTTGGGCTGTCTGTTTCGTAACATGCAAACTGCACGCAATCTTCTCAGGAAATTCATTTACTAAATCGAGGATATTTTTCTGGAATGTCAAACGTATTTGGTCACACTACAACTTTAAAAAATCAAAACAGATGTGCACAGCCTCTGCCGCTGAACCCCGACTCCCAGTCTGCACACGTCTGCCACTCTCTTCCTCTCTACTTAAGAGACGTATTGTTTGCAGCCTCGCAGGCCGGAGCATTCACAGCACAGAGGGCTAGTTGGCTTTAATTGAAATCTGAATATGCTAACAAGCATATTACTAACTCTCCGGGAGTTTTTTCTTTTCCCTTTTTCTCAAGCAGTGGCAATTAAGCAGCAGTTTCACTGACCACAGTTGTGTCTTTTAACTGTTTCTGTTCTTTTGTTCATCCCTGCAGCTGCAAGGCAATCCAGAGTGAAAGCCTTCTCCTGTCAAGTGTACTTCCTTTCAACAGATGCAGCCGAGGGGGGTTTCCGTCACCCGGCAGGGGCCGAACTCCACGCGCCTCACCTCCTCTGTTATATAACCTGTAGGTCTCCTGACTCCGCAGATGCTCGGGGCTGTGGCCACCTTTCTGTTCATCGGCCTCCAGATTCAGGCCCACCAAACCCGTCCTGGCCCGTCCTGTCACTTCACCGGGAGCCCCTCAACACAAGCTGTTTTTCTGTCCTAAGAAGTGGTGGTTAATTCCCCATCTGAACATGATTAACATCAAGCCTTCTGTTGCAACGAACTCTCGTAGAGAAGACAGAGTAACGGAAGAACGTTCCGGAGACGACTCCCACTCCGCCACGAGTTTGCTCACGGCACGCTAGCAAGCGTCCGTCTCTCCCCTACCTTAAACAGGAGCTCACTGGTATTCTGGGCACTGTAGAACAGCTTTGTCGTCCCCATCTCGTAGCCGCTCCCTCTGTGGGCCCGTTCTCTATGGAGGTCGGCCGTGTGCCGCAGGATGGAGAGCAGGGGGTTAATTCCGACCCCTCCTGCAATCAGCACGAGGTTTCTAGAGGCATCTGCAGGCTGCGGGTCAAAGAAGAACTCTCCACCCACTCTCACGGCCACTTCAGAGTCAAGTGTACACTACGGCAGGAAAGAAAAGATCCGTGAGTCCTTTGGGGCATAGGCCTTACACCTACCGCTCTTCTTCAAGAAAACGGACTGCCTCTGCCTCCTGCATTTTTATCCGTGCTGAGAACTGTTTTCACAGCCGGCTCCCACTTGTCCCACTCGCCCATCACACAGGCCATTCGCTGCTCTGCCTTTGTGACCTGTACCGCCTAGCCGCTCCAGAACCCAGGAGAGGGGGACTCCCTTCAGTCATTTTGCCACTTGCTCACTTCTTAGGTGATGAGCCGGGCTGCGCAACAGGCACTGGACTCAGGGCACAGCTCTGAAGCGTGAGTTTCCTTTTCTGCTCGAAGCCATGGAGCTGAGACAGGCAGGCTGGGGCAGGTGTCATTACGCTGCGGCTGCCCTGGGCTCGTCAGAGAACACTCTGGGTACCAGGGGGCCCCCTCCAGGCCACCAGCAGGGCACAGCCACAGCTCTGCTGCGCAGGCTTGAGGCCGGCCCCGCAGTGCTGGTCGGTGCTGTGCGCTTCTCCCCGGAGCAGCAAGAACAGGCACAGAGGCTTCACTCACCGGGGGGCGACTGCCACACCCCCAACCCAGCAAAGCACCTAGTGGGTGAGGTCACTTAGACCCGAACGACCATCAGAGCTGAATGCACTGGTTCTCCATGAGGGTGACAGAGACCCCAAAAGGAGGTGTTTTGGAAACACGTGGTCATACTTTTTTATTGTCACGATGGTTTGGAAAACCCAACTGGCATTTAGAGGGCAGGACCAGAGATGCTAGCTAGATGTCTTGTGCAGTTAGCAGTGCCCGGGAGCTGGCTCCCACTCAGCTGATGGTTAAATTTTGAGGAATTTCGTGAACCAGGTTTGTTTGGTTTTTTTTTAAAGATTTTATTTATTTATTTGACAGCACAAGCAGGGGGAGCAGCAAGCAGAGGGAGAGGGAGAGGCAGGCTCCCCCACTGAGCAGGGAGCCCGATGCGGGGCTCGATCCCAGGATCCTGGGATCATGACTTGAGCCGAAGGCAGCCGCTTAACCGACTGAGCCACCCAGGCGCCACGTGAACCACTTCCTACTGGTAGTTTGAATTCAGCCACTGAGAGAGTATCTGCAACACAGAAATCAGCAAATGCTGCAAATCACGACTTTTTGTACTCAGCCAGTTTAGCAGCACAGGATTGCCCTGCAGAAACTTCTGAATGGCCCATGGGACATACATGGAGGTGAAAACTGGTTTGTAATGATCTGAGACTAGATCCTAACTCATTTACAAAAAACCCAAAGCACTGTGTATGGACGGATCTAGTGGAGTCCGAATGTTCCAGAATGTACCCATCGTGTAGACTGTACTCTATTGTATCCAGAACATTACCAAGTATGCTCACTGTTCTGGCCAGCCACATCCCAGTTGGTAACATGCACGTGTGGTTCTCCCGTCACCAGGCAACAGGCAACACCATCTGCACCTGTAGACGGTGTACTCATGCTGATTCTACGCTGAGGAACAGCCGTCTGACTACTTAATTCTCTCTTCTAGTTAAGATCTGCCCAACCACTGATCTAGTGAAATACACAGTCTGTGACTAGGAATCCCCCCCTTTTTTTTTTTAATTTCTCCTTGGCATTACATTTAGAGAATTATGTCACAAAAAAAAAAAAAAATCTTTCATATGTTGATTACATTAACTTTGAATTTCATTTCAGGAGGGTTCTAGAAAGAGGGCAGCGGATCTGATAGGGTTGAGACCTCTAGCTTGGATAAAATGTACTGATGTAGGAGTCAGAAGACTGAATTTTAATCACAGCCTATGAAATCCATCAAGTTCCTTCATTTCTCTGAGCCTCTGCTGCCGCATCTGTTAAGTGGGTACCAACACCTGTCCTGCTCACCTCACAGGGCTATGGTGGCCATCACGGGACACCCGGCAGGGAAGAATTCCCTGCTGGGCTGCTGCCATCTAGCTCTATTACAGGAGGGGGTTTTAGTCACTGAAGCTGCCAGGGAAGAAAAAGTGCTGGGGTGCCTGCTCCTTTCTTCCCTGCCACTAAAAGGCAACCCAGAACTAAAGAAATTTATATGAAGAGCAAAAGTTGGCTCCATTACATGTTCCTGATGTAAATCAACAAAATGAACTCCCTCCTAAGAAGCAATAAGTTATCATGTGCTTTTTAAAGACCAAATCCTCAACATTCACTCCTTGGAGCCCTGCATGGCAGGTAGGCCGTTAAGTACTTATTTTTTTTAATTTTTTTTTAAGATTTTATGTATTTATTTAAGAGAGAGAGCACAAGCAGGGAGAGCAGCAGAGAGAGAGGGAGAAAGAGGTCTCCACTGTGCAGGGAGCCCAATGCGGGGCTCGATCCCAGGACCCCGGGATCATGACCTGAGCCGAAGGCAGACGCTTAGCCGACTGAGCCACCCAGGCGCCCCCAGTTAAGTACTTTTTGACATGAATTTAATTTGGGGCTTTACAACTTAAAGAAGAAGTTAAATCTTAAAGAAGAGTTAGTCTCAGAGAAATGTAAGAAAAAACAATAATTAGTTTCATTCACAAAAGAGGTCCTTTCTGGTAAAGAACTATCAAATGAAGGAAAATCCTTTCTCTGAGGGAAAAGAAAAACATCTAAACTAAACAATTTTAAATAGGTAGGCCATTTTTACACGAAGGATGAGAAGTGGGTTTTTATTTTCGACAAAAGAAATGAGCAGCAAGGGAGCATTCTGTTAGGAATAAGTACAATCTAGGACTTACTACACTGGCCACCAAAGTGCTTTAAAATGCCCTTCCTTTTCAAGTCTCAGAAACAGAAGCTATGGTATGAGAAGTTCTGCCTAATGATGCCAAAAGACTGAATCTCTCTGCCCCTTCCCTCCCCATCTTGCTTGCCTGTACACCTCTCTCTTTATCACTAAGAATCAAAGAGTAAAAGAGACTAAGAAATGAGAGAGAAATCATTTTCTCCAACGGTCATCTTTAGCAGGATTAATAATTACAACAAAGCCTTTAGGGTACTTACTGTTTTTGAGACAGAGTATTTTCAAAACCCTGAAGTTGGCAAAAAGAGAAAGAAAGAAAAAAAAATGTGCCTACCATCTCCTTAGTGACAAAATAATCTTAAATAGATCTATCTTCTTATTTGCTAGCATCTGGAAAGAATGAAAAGCCATCTTTGTCTTTTACTGATCAATAAAAGCTGCCAGGGTAGCATGAACACAACACTCCAAGTACTGTACCCTATAATACGGAAGTGAGTAAAAGGACATTACCTTCGATTACGCGGCCATGTTTTGGGTACAGATTTTCTACTTGTGAAATAAACAACTTTTCCACAGCAGCTGGAGCCCAGCACACAATAGCTGTCTAGAACCCTTTACCCTGCCAGGAGCCTGAGCCAAAGCAGATAAAATAAAGGAAGACATATATGGCACTTTATCCCATGTCCCAACAGAGCAGCCTGCTGCCACCCAGACACTCACGTGCCTCCATTGTCCACTCTAATAGCTTAATAAGACAAACCCCTCAGGAGGAAAACAGCCACCTGAGAATGGTTCCAAGACAAATCTGACTTCATAAAGGCTGTTTGCAACTCCCACCGGGCAGAGTGGAGCCGGCACTACAATTAAAATGTGCATTCAAGCAATGCCACTTGGAGATTTTCTACAGCCTCTAAGAGTAAGTTCCTTCATTGAAATGCCAATGAGGCATGAAACCAAGCAGGGAGCTGTGGAGCAGGACCAGGTCAGGTCACGTGGGAGGCAGATAACGGGAGGGAACTCATGGCACTCGGAGCCGAGATGGCCAAGCTCACTGTAACCCTGGGCAAGGGGCACATGGAAACCTTGCCAGCCTCACCCCCACGGCATTTTTTAGAGATTCAGGATACAGCCTACAGACAGTAATGGGTGGGAAATCCAAAGAGAATCTAAAAAGGAATGAGGCAGCTGAGGACACATGGAAGGAATGACTCAGAAGGTCGGAGGGTAAAAATGTGACAGGATACATTGAGAATGGAAATGCTAAGGCAAGCAGCTGCCTTATTCTGAACAGATACAACTTGACACGGAAATCATAATTAGAAGAGACTTTTTTTATGCCCCTATAGATTTAAAAACCTTTTTTTTTTTTTTAATTATCTTACAGTTAAACTCTTTGGGGGGAGCGGGGGAGGAAGTATAGTTCTGTGGATTTTAACACACACACACAGATCTGCCTAACTACCACCAAAACCAAGATACAGAACAGTTCCATCACCACCAAAACCAAGATACAGAACAGTTTCATCACCCCCAAAACCTCCCTCTGCTTTCCCTCTATGCTCACACCTTTCCCTACCCCTAACCCCTGTTAACCACTCATCTGTTTTCCATCATTGTATTTCTGTCTTCCAGAGTGTGACAAAAATGGGATTATAGAGTACATAACCTTTGAGACTGGCTTTTTTCACTCAATATGTGGCCTTTAAGACTCACCCAAGTGGAGTGCATCAATGGTTCATCCATTTTTACGCTGAATAACAATATATTGTATGAATGGATCACAATTTGTTTATCTGTTCACCTTTTGAGGGACATTTGGGTTGTTTCCAGTTTTTGACAATTATGAATAGAACCACTATAAATGTTTCACGTACAGGTTTTTATATGAACAGAGCTTTCTGTTTCTCTAGAATAAAGATCCAGGAGCAGTATTACTAGGACTTAAGATAAATGATTGTTTCATTTCATACAAAACTACCAAAATGTCTTCCAGATTGGCAGCAGTATCTCGCATTCCTGCTAGCAATCTAAGCTATAGAAGAGAGTTCCAGTCACTCCACATCCTTACCAGCATTTGGTATTGTCAGAACTTTTAACTTTAGTCATTCTAATAGGTGTGTAGAGATACCCCCTATATCCAGTTTTAATCTGCATTTCCCTAATGATGGTCAACATCTTGTCATTGCTTACTAGCTGTCCTTATATCCTTTTTAGTGAAGTGTCTATTCAGGCTTTTGCCCATTTTTAAATTATGCTGGTTTTCTTTCTGCTGACTTTTGAGTTCTTTATGTATTCTGGATATTACATATCCTTTGTTGGATATCTAACGTGCAAATACCTTTCATCGAATCTGTAGCAGTGTCTTTTGCAGAAAAACGTTTTTAATTTTGATTAACTCCTATATATGAATCTCCTCTTTTATGGATCTGGCTTTTGGTGTCATGTCCTAACACACCTACCCTCAAGTTCAGAATATTTCTTATGTTTTCTTCTAAAATTGTTACGGTTTTGTGTCTTCTACTTACATCTATAACCTATTTTGTAGGAATTTTCAACATAAAGTAGGACACTTAGGACAAAGTTGTTTCTTTGCATATGGATAAACAACTGTCCCAGCACTGTATATATGTTGGAAAGGTTATCCTTTCACCACTGAATTTCTTTAGCACTGTCGTCAAAAATCAAATGGCCATATGTGTGTTGGATCCAATTCTGAATTCTTTATTCTGTTCCATCAATTTATGTGTCCATCCCTTCACCAATACTACACTAATTTGATTACCATAGCTGTATTTTAATCTTAAATTTGAGCAATGTGATACTTGCCACTTTATTCTTCTTCGAAACTGTTTTAGCTATTCTAGTCCCTTTGCCCTTCCATATAAATTTTAAAATCAGTTTATAGCTACAATATTTATACTGGTACATTCCTTTCTGGCAAAGGAGATAAGAAAATGTCTGGGATGGGATAAAAGTTGTTGGTAAATATAGAAGGCACTCTAGAAATAAAAGGGATGGTCAAAAACTAAGAAGACAAACAACTGATTTGTGCAGAGCTCATTCTTTGTTATCAGAGTTCTCAGAGGTAATGAACAGTCAGCTTATGTAGAATTGTGTTGAGTCCCTTAGTGAAACATGAGTTATTAGCTGCAAACGTGGATTCCCTCTCAGGATCCCATGTGAAGAGCTCTCCAGAGGCAATGGCACCATGGATTTAGCAGTGCTCAGCTCTAGGCACAAGCGGGATAGAATGAGAAATCACTTCCTTGGGGCGCCCGGGTGGCTCAGTCGGTTAAGCGTCTGCCTTCGGCTCAGGTCATGATCCCAGAGTCCTGGGATTGAGCCCTACATTGGGCTCCACGCTCAGCAGGGAGCCTGCGTCTCCCTCTCCCTCTCCCTACCTGTCTACCTACTCGTGCTCTCTCTCTCTGTCAAATAAATAAAATCTTTAAAAAAAAAAAAAAAGAAATCACTTCCTTTCCAAATGACAGAATAATAGTTTAATTCCTTTTATTTAGGATAGTTACGACAAAATAATCTGATTTATAGGTTTACCATTTATAAGACACACAGAGAGCCAATTTAAAAAAACTTACATATAAAGTAAAATGTTTCAATACTAAAGTAGTGTTCAACTGAACACTAGTAACCCAGAAGGTATTTTCAGATCCCAAAATATCTTTGAGTCTTCCCTAATGCATCAAAAGATTCTGCTTCTTTGACCATTCTGGAGTTTGAATTCTGGATGTGGGGGAGCTCTTTGTGAGCATGTACCCTTCCCACTCAAGCCTTGGTTTCTTAGGTGCATTAAGTGAGCTGAACACAAATTTTGTGGGTAGGCAGAGATGCCCAGAGCTCCAAGTTTAAACAGGTTTGCTCACCTGATTGTGAATCCAGAGAGCAGGAGGGTGGTTCGCATATTTCACTGCCAATTCTATCATTCTCTCTTGTTCTAGTAGTCTGGGGCTGGAGCATATTGAGAACCCACCAACCACAGAGACTCCTGGGATAAAGAAATCAATCCTAAAAAGAAAGGCAAATAAACTTTTTGTTGAAGCAATTTTAAAAGTGGGCAATAAGATAAGTAAAACTGATAAACTTTAAGCTAGTTAAGAAAAAAAAGAAAAGAGAAAATTAGTAAAATCAAGAATGGAAGAGGGGACATCATCACCAAGCTTACAAAAATAGAAAAGATTATTACAGGAATTCCATGAACGACTGTATGACAAAAATTGAGATAACTTAAATGAAATGGATACATTCCTAGAAAGACAGAAATTATCAAATTGGACTCAAGAAGAAACAGAAAATCTGAACAGGCCCCTAACAAGTAAATAGTTTTAGTAATTTCAAAACTTCTAGAAAAAAAAAAGGATAGGCATCACTGGTGAATTTTACCAAGGATTTAAAGAATGCTAATCTTTTACAAACTCTTCCCAAAAACCAGAAAAGAACATTTGCCAACTCATTTATAAGGCCAGTATTACCCTGCTACCAAAACCAGACAAAGATATAACAAGAAAAGAAACTAAGTTCAATATCCCTTGTGAATATAGATGCAAAAATCCCAGGAATATTAGGTTGGTTTAACATCTGAAAATCAATCAATGAAAAACACCACTTAGTAGAATAATGGACAAAACCCAGGTATCATCTCAATAGATGCAGAAAAGGCATTTGGCAATATTTAAGACCCTTACATAATAAAAATACTCAACTAACTATGAATAACTGGGAACTTCCTCAATCTAATAAAGGACATCTACAAAATATCCAACATTCAATGGTGAAAAGCTACAAGTTTCTCCCCTAAAGACAGAAACAAGACAAGGATGTCTGTTCCTACCACCTCTTTTTAACATTGTACTAGAGGTTCTAGCCAAGGCAATTAAGCAAGAAAATTAAATAAAAGGTATCAAGATTAGAGAGGAAGAAATTGTAGATGACATGATGTTGTATATAGAAAATCCTAAGGAATCTACTATAAGGATATTAGAACTAATAAGCAAGTTCAAATGATGCTGCAGAATACAAGATTGATAAAAATCAACTGTATTTCTATACACCAGCAGTTAACAATCTAAATGTGAAGTTGAGAAAAATAATTTTATTTATAATAACATAAAAAAGATTAAAACAACTGGGAATAAATTTAACAAAAAAAGTATATAAGACTTGCATACTGAAAGCTACAAAACATTATGGAGAAAAATCAAAGAAGGTCTAAATAAATAAAAAGACACCTAATGTTCACAGACTGAAAGACTTAATAATATTAAGATGGCAATACTCTCCAAATTAATCTATAGATTCAATGCAATACCTATCAAAACTCCAGATGGTTTCTTTGCTGAAACTGACAAGTTGATCATAAAATTAATATGGAAATTCAAGGAACCCAGAATCATCAAAACAATTTGGAAAAAGACCAACAAATTTAGAGGACTCACACATTCTGATTTCAAAACTTACTATAAAGCTACAGTAATGAAGACACTGTAGTACTGGCATTAGGACAGGCACATAAATCAACGATAAAGAACTGCAAGTCCAGAAGTAAACTCTTAAATATGTGGTCAGTTGATTTTTGACAAGAGTACCAACATAATTCAATGGCAGAAGAACAGTCTTTTCAATGAACTGTGCCAGAACAACTGGATATGCACATGTAAAAAGAACGAAGTTGGACCCCTACCTCACACCATATACAAAAATTAACTCAAAATGGGTCACCGACTTAAAGGTAAGAGCTAAAATTATAAACTCTTAGAAGACTCACACAGGAGTAACTCTTCATGGCAATGGTTACTCAGATAGGATACCAAACACAAAAGTCAAAGAAAAAATGGAGAAACTAGCCTGCAACAAAATTAAGATACCATCATTAAAAGGTAACCTACAGAATGGGAGAGAATACTTTCAAATCAAATATCTGATAAGGAATTTGTATACAGAAAATATAAAGAACTTGTACAATTCAATAATTAAGACAACTCAAAATATGGGCAAAGGATTTGTATAAACATTTCTCCAAAGATATGTAAATGGCAAATAAGCATGTAAAAAGTTGCTCAACATCATTAGTTATTAGGAAAATGCAAATCAAAATCACAAGAGCTATCACTTCATACTCAACTAGGACTGATGGCTAATTAAACCAACAGTAGTACTAGTAAGGATCCTGAGAAACCAGAACCCTTCTACGCTGCTGGTGGGAATGTAAAATGGCGCAGCCACTTTGGAAAATAGTTTGCAGTGTCTCAAAATGTTAAACAGAGTTACCATATGACCATCAACTCCACTCTTAAATATATACCCAAGAGAAATTAAAATATATGTCCATTCAAAAACACGTACATAAATATTCATAGCAGCATTATTGATAATAGCCTAAAAGTGAAAACAATCTAAATTTTCATCAATTCATGAATGTATAAACAAAATATGGTATATCCACAATGGAATGAAGTACTGATACATGCCACAACATAGATGAACATTAAAATTATGTTAATAGAAAGAGGTCAGTCACCCAGAGGAATGGGAGAGAATTGTTGAAAAAGAAATGTTGAAAAAGAAAAGCAAAGCTGGCGGCATCACAATTCCGGACTTCAAGCTCTATTACAAAGCTGTCATCATCAAGACAGTATGGCACAGAAACAGACACATAGATCAGTGGAACAGAACAGAGAGCCCAGAAATGGACCCTCAACTCTATGGTCAACTAATCCTTGACAAAGCAGGAAAGAATGTCCAATGGAAAAAAAGACAGTCTCTTCAACAAATGGTGTTGGGAAAATTAGACAGCCACATGCAGAAGAATGAAACTGGACAATTTCT